GGAGTTTGACACCAGTCTGTACATCGTGGCAAAACCCTGTAATTACAAAAAAACACAAAATTAGCCAAGTGTGGTGACACACGCCTACAGTCCCAGCTACTTGGGAGGCTGAGGTGGGAGGATCACCTGAACCTGGGGAAGTCAAGGCTGCAGTGAGTGGTGACTGTGCCACTGCACTCCAGCCTGGGCAACAGAGTAAGACCCTGTCTCAAAAACAAACAAAAAAGAGGTACTTCCACCCTGCTATATTATATTGCTGAGTTGGAAAACTCCAATAAATATAATCCCAAAGGATTTTTTTGGGGGTGGAGTAGCAGACATACAAGCACTTTTCGCAAAGCAAATATTAAAATAGTATATATATATATGCCGGGCGCGGTGGCTCAAGCCTGTAATCCCAGCACTTTGGGAGGCCGAGACGGGCGGATCACGAGATCAGGAGATCGAGACCATTCTGGCTAACACAGTGAAACCTCGTCTCTACTAAAAAATACAAAAAACTAGCCGGGCAAGGTGGCGGGCGCCTGTAGTCCCAGCTACTCGGGAGGCTGAGGCAGGAGAATGGCGTAAACCCGGGAGGCGGAGCTTGCAGTGAGCTGAGATCCGGCCACTGCACTCCAGCCTGGGCGACAGAGCGAGACTCCGTCTCAGAAAAAAAAAAAATAGTATATATATATAATTTTTTTTTTTGGACGGAGACTCGCTCTGTCGCCCAGGCTGGAGTGCAGTGGCGTGATCTTGGCTTACTGCAAGCTCCACCTCCTGAGTTCACACCATACCATTCTCCTGCCTCAGCCTCCCGAGCAGCTGGGACTACAGACGCCCACCACTACGCCCGGCTAATCTTTTGTATTTTTAGTACAGATGGGGTTTCAACATGTTAGCCAGGATGGTCTCCATCTCCTGACCTTGTGATCTGCCCGCCTCTGCCTCCCAGTGTTGGGATTACAGGCATGAGCCACTGCGCCTGGCCTTAAAGTTTTTAAATTTATTTTTTTTTGAAACGAGGTCTCGCTCTGTCACCCAGGCTGGAGTGCAGTGGCCCAATCGTGGCTCACTGCAACCTTCACCTCCCAGGTTCAAGCAATTCTGTGCCCCAGCCTTCCGAGTAGCTGGCATCACAGGCGCTTGACACCACACCAAGGTTTTTTTTTTTTTTTTTTTTTTCCCCCCAGTAGAGACGGGTTTCACCGTCTTGGCTGGTCTTGAACTCCTGACCTCGTGATCCACCCACCTCGGCCTCCCAAAGTGCTGTGATTACAGGCATTGAGTCACCGCGCCAGGCCTAATTTATTTTTTGAGATGGAATCTCGCTCTGTCACCTAGGCTGGAGTGTGGTGGCACGATCTCAGCTCACTGCAACCTCCGCCTCCCGGGTTCAAGCAATTCTCCTGCCTCAGCCTCCAGAGTAGCTGGGATTACAGGTGCGCACCACCATGCCCAGCTAATTTTTTGTATTTTTCGTACAGACGGGGCTTCATCATGATGGCCAAGCTGGTTTTGAACTCCTGACCTCAAGTGATCCGCCTGCCTTGCCCTCCCAAAGTGCTAGGATTACAGGCATGAGCCACATATTAAATTTTTTTAACATCATATTCATTTTCCCAAGTCTCTGACATCCAGTAATCCTCCTGGTGCTAATAAAACTTTCCTGTTACCATACACCGATTCTTTGTATCAGCACTGTCCGCTGTAACTTTCTGCAATGTGAAATGTGTTGTATTTGCAGTCCCATACCACAAGTACTAGCTTGTCATTACTGACTACTTGAAATGTGGCTTGTACAACTGAGTTTATTTCGTTTTAAAAGTATATTGATTTCAACGTAAATAGCCGCATGTGGCTAGTGACCACTGTATTGCACAGGTCAGCTCTGTATGATTTTTGTAGGTCAAGTGCTTGTGAAAATCTACAGTAGGCTGGGCGCGGTGGCTCAAGCCTGTAATCCCAGCACTTTGGGAGGCCGAGACGGGCGGATCACGAGGTCAGGAGATCGAGACCATCCTGGCTAACACGGTGAAACCCCGTCTCTACTAAAAAATACAAAAAACTAGCCGGGCGAGGTGGCGGGCGCCTGTAGTCCCAGCTACTTGGGAGGCTGAGGCAGGAGAATGGCGTAAACCCGGGAGGCAGAGCTTGCAGTGAGCCGAGATCCGGCCACTGCACTCCAGCCCGGGCGACAGAGCAAGACTCCGTCTCAAAAAAAAAAAAAAAAAAAAAAAAGAAAATCTACAGTAATATATATCATCGTTAAGAGTTATTGTGTAAGGCGGGTGCAGTGGCTCCCGCCTGTAATGCTAGCACTTTGGGAGGCGGAGCAGTGTGGATCACCTGACGTCAGGAGTTCTAAACCAGCCTGGCCAACATGGTGAAACCCTGTCTCTACTAAACGTACAAAGCTACTCAGGAGGCTGAAACACGAGAATCATTTGAACCCAGGGGGTGGAGACTGCAGGGAGCCTAGATAGAGCCACTGCACTCCAGCCTGGGCGACAAAGCAAGACTCCATCTCAAAGAAAAAAAAAAAAAAATAAGGCCAGGCGCAGTGGCTCATGCCTGTAACCCTAGCACTTTGGGAGGCTGAGGAGGGCGGATCACCTGAGGTCAGAAGTTCGAGACCAGCCTGGCCAACATGATGAAACCCTGTCTCTACTAAAAATATAAAAATTAGCCGGGCATAGTGGCGCATGACTGTAATTCCGGTGACCCGGGAAGCTGAGGCAGGAGAATCACTGGAACCCAGGAGGCAGATGCTGCAGTGAGCCAAGGTGGTGCCACTGCACTCCAGACTGGGCAACAGAACAAAACACTGTCTCAAAAAAAAAGTGCTGGGTGTGGTGGGGTATGCCCTACTTTTTATTATTATGCAATTAATGATGTCTGAAAAGAATACCTAAGTGGCTCAGTAAGCATTTCTTTTTTCTTTTTGAGATGGAGTCTCGCTTCTTCACCCAGGCTGAAGTGCAGTGGTGCGATCTCAGTTCACTGCAACCTCCACCTCCTGGGTTCAAGCAATTCTCCTGCCTCAGCCTCCCCAGTAGCTGGGATTACAGGCATGTGCCACCACGCCCAGCTAATTTTTTTATTTTTAGTAGAGATGGGGTTTCACCATGTTGGACAGGCTGGTCTCAAACTCCTGACCTCAAGTGATCCACCCACCTTGGCCTCCCAAAGTGCTGGAATTACAGGTGTGACCCACTGCACTTGGCCTCAGTAAGCATTTCTGGAGATGGTACTGTATTAAAAAATATAGTATAGTGGGCATGTGGCTCATGCCTGTTATCCCAGCACTTTGGGAGGCTGAGGTGGGCAGATCACAAGGTCAAGAGATCGAGACCATCCTGGCCAACATGGATGGTCTAAAATTTTTGTATTTCTAGTAGAGACAACAACCCTGTCTCTACTAAAAATACAAAAATTAGTTGGGTGTGGTGGCACACACCTGTAATCCCAGCTACTCGGGAGTCTGAGGTAGGAGAATCACTTGAACCCGAGAGGCGGAGGTTACAGTGAGCCAAGATTGCACCATTGGACTCCAGTCTGGGTAACAAGAGCAAAACTCAGTCTCTAAATAAATAAATAAATTGCCGGGCACGGTGGCTCGCCTGTAATCCCAGCACTTTGGGAGTCGGAGGCAGGCGGATCAGGAGGTCAGTAGTTCAAGACCAGCCTGGCCAACATAGTGAAACCCTATCTCTACTAAAAATACAAAAAAATTAGCCAGGCATGGCCAGGCGCGGTGGCTTACGCCTGTAATTCCAGCACTTTGGGAGGCTGAGGCAGGCGGATCACGAGGTCAGGAGAGCAAGACCATCCTGGCTAACATGGCAAAATCCCGTCTCTACTAAAAATACAAAAAAATTAGCCAGGCATGGCGGCGAGTACCTGTAGTCCCAGCTGCTGAGGAGGCTGAGAGCAGAATGGCGTGAACCCAGGAGGTGGAGGTTGCAGTGAGCCGAGATAGCGCCACTGCACTCCAGCCTAGATGACAGAGCAAGACTGTCTCAAAAAAAAAAAAAAAAAAAAAAAAAAAAAAAAAAAATCAGCCAGGCATAGTGGCACACGCCTATAGTCCCAGCTACTCAGGACGAGGCAGGAGAATCACTTGAGCCTGGGAGGCGGAGGTTGTAGTGAGCCGAGATCGTGCCACTGCATTCCAGCCTGGGCAACACAGCAAGACTCCGACCCAAAAAATAAATAAATAAACATTTTTAGAAATTAGCTGGGCTTGGTGGTGTGTGCCTGTAATCCCAGCTACTTGAGGCGCTGAGGCAGGAGAATCGCTTGAACACAGGAGGCAGAGGTTGCAGGGAGCCGAGATCACGCCATTGCACTCCAGCCTGGGTAGAAAAAGCAACTGTCTCAAAAAAAAAAAAAAAAAAAAAAAAAGGCCAGGCACAGTGGCTCACGCCTGTAATCCTAGCACTTTGGGAGGCCGAAGCAGGCACATCACCTGAGATCAGGTGTTTGGGACCAGCCTGACCAATGGGGCAAGACCTCGTATCTACTAAAAATACAAAAAAATTTAGCCAGGCGTGGTGACGCATGCCTGCAATCCCAGCTACTCGGGAGGCTGAGGCAGGAGAATTGTCTGAACCCGGGAGGCGGAGGTTGCAGTGAGCCGAGATTGTGCCATTGCACTCCAGCCTGGGCGACAAGAGAGAAAGTCTGTCTCGGGGGGAAAAAAAAAAAAAAAATCTTCGTTTGGCATTAAAAGATCCACCCCACCTCTATTGTACTATGCAGCATTTAAAAATAATCCAGTGACTCCGAAACAGAAATACCCAAACAAAACTCAACTTTTTTCTTCCTTCTTGACAGATTTGAAGACTCTGTTAGTCACACTGACAGCTGGCTGGCACCTAAGGACATCTTGACATCACTTAAGTTGGGTTGTAGCCTCAACACCAGGTTTATAGTTCATTCTGTCTTTCCCAGCAGTGCCTGGCACATAGTATGTGCTCCCTTAAAAAGCAGGGAGTGTGTAGAAAACAAATGGCCTATTTTATAAAACTCTAAATTTATTCAAAATGTTAAAAGATTTTGTTCTACCTCCAAAATATTTTACAATTTAAAAAAATCAAAACTATATCCTATTTTCTCAGCCACTGTACAAGTTGCTGTTTCTGTCCCAGGACTAGTCTCTGGCCCTCCAACACTCTGTCCTTCCCTCAATCCCTCCCCTTTTACTATTGCTGTTAAGTTTGTTTATAAAACCCTCCACCCTCTCTCCCCACCCCACACCCTGCTCTGCTCTGCCCAGCCCAGCATGGCTTCTCTTTGCGATTCCAGGCCCTTGGCTGCAGGTAAAGACGAATGGATGGGTGCGATGGACAAAGGCAATGCCTGAGGGGCAAGAGTATGCTTTGTGCTTCTGGGAGAATCATTTTTCTCTTGGTCAAGTGGAGGATCATTCTTTTTTGTCCCATGGACACCTGTTCCGAGCCAAATATTTGGCTTACAGTTGCCCACAGCCATGCAGCTCTGCTTTTTCTGCACGTTCCTCTGGGCGTGGGTCCATGACAGACGGGTCTTATGACTATACCATTTGTTTGCCTGTAGACTGTTAGGGACAGGAAAGGGGCACATGACTAGAATGGGGCTTGATGGAGCCCAACTTCTCAGAGAGTGGGCACCAAACCCCAGGGGGGAGGTTTTGGTTTTCTAGTAGGTAAAACCCGGGCCAACCAGGACCATGGAAGGTAGGGAAAAGGGGAGAAACGTCTAACCATATAGCTCTGGAACGAGCCATGTTCCTTCTGAAAATCCCCTGTCCATCCCCTCCTTTATTCTGTAGGTCCCAGGAGAATTCCAAAGAGGAGGAAGAAAAATAGGAAAAGGATGCTGTTCTGCTGATGGGAAAAGGCAGGAGCTGACATAGTGCTCAGGGCTGGGGAGAGGCCCGCTACCATCTGCAGCTGTCACTGCTTCCCTGTTCTGTGAGGGAGGTTGAGTGGGACAGAAGCCAGGCCCTCAGAGGCTTCATCAGCTCTGTTCCTTGTCCTTGACTAATAAGACTGTATGCTGGCCCCCGCTGGACACAGATAAGACCACACGGTTCTCCAGCTGTTTGCCCGTCATCTCCACAGGGCTCCAGGCGTCCTCATCCTGCCCTGTGCCCAGCTGGTAGTTGGTGCCCATGCCCCAGGCGAAAACACGACCTGCAAGAGAAAGAAATGGGTATAGCTGTCTCCAGGATCCCCAGCCCACTTTTCTGTGGCAGGAGAAACCTGGGAGATGGGTGTGGACTGTGGCCTTGGCCAACAGCAGCTTGGCAAGATCCCAGACTCTCGGAGTTCAGGGAAGTTGGGAGAACCCAAGGAGATGATGGATGAAAAAGAACGCTGTAAACCAGAGACCACAGTCCCTACACATTGCCAAAGGCTGCTCCTAGGTGTGGCATTCAAGACCCCAACCCCACCCTCTGTTCCCAGGATCAGCCACCTTTGAGACTGCCCTGATGTTCCTCTGCCTGGAATGGCATTCTTTGCTTTTCACAAAGAATGGAACCTTCAAGGTGCAGTGCAGGCCCCACTTCCTCAGGAAGTCTTTCCAGATATCTCAGGTCCAGCACCTCTGCCAGCTCCAGGCTTCTACAGGACCTCCATGGCTGTCCCTCTCATCTACTCAGGCTTTGGTGGTCACTTGTTCACACCCTCCTCCGCCATACTTGCTACAACTCTGACTACTAAGTCTTTTTTTCCCCTGATTTAGATTCTAAGTACAAGTGCCTGGGAAGCGGGCACATACAAGGTGATATATGAAGAGGTTACCCTGATGGAGAGAGCAGCCTGGGTTAGGAGTCTGGAGACTTGGGTTCCAGTCCCATTGCCTCCTTAGGCCTCAGTGATATCTCACTCTTTGCTATTTCTCTCCTCTGCATAATAAGTCACCTTTACTAAAATAATTTGTGTACTCATTTCATATTCATCAACACCAGAGCTTCTGAGAAGCAGGAACAGAGTGCATCACAAACACTGCTGTCTGCACCTCGGCTCCACCTGAGAGTGGACATCACAGCCTACTGGGGAACTGGGTAAGAACCATGACCCACAGGACCCAACTAGACAGAGTGTAGGCAGCCCCACTCACCATCCTTGGTCACAGCATACCCCACAGAGGCCCCACAAGCCACTGAGGAGACAGCAGGCAGCCTGGAGATGAGGGTGGGTATGCTCTTCTCCTCAGCACCCTCCCCAAGGCCCAGCCGCCCATACTCAGCCCGGCCCAGGCTGTATGCTTTTCCTGTGGGAGGAGGGAGAGAGATGAGCAATAGCAGACGGCGTGCTACAGGCAAAATGGGTGGCAGGCTAGGTGAGTGCCCCTGTCCATGGGAGTGTGTCACTGCTCCCAGGGCGATCAGAAGGAGATCTGCAGTGTCTCTTCCCAGTTTTGGAGGAGACCTAGGAGAATCTCTACATAGGCCCCCATTGAACTCACACTTGGAAGGGCACCAGGACTCTAGGAGGATGAGAGTGACTCTCATGGACCCACGTGTGGCACAACCCATGGAACAGACCCAGGCTCCAAGGACCACGGTCTCAGGAATCTGGCTAAGTCTAGGCCAGGGTACACTCCGCCCCCAAACTAGAGAAGGACGTAAAGGACCTACCTTCTGAATCCATGCAGACTGTATGGTGCTGGCCACCAGAGAAGCCCACCCAGGACTTGGTGGAATTCTTAAAGGATGTTAGGTTCTGGGGTATGAAGCAAGATTCTGTGCCCGGAGTTCCTGGGGGAAAGGCCGGAGCCATCAGGGGTGAAAGTGTTCTGAAAGCTGCCCTTCTCAATCCCCTCCCACAGTGAGGCCACCTCCCATCAGGATATGGACATTTTCACTTTACAGATGACAAAACTGTGATTTCGAGGGCTTAGACAACCCCGCAAAGGATGCACAATGAATGAGTGGTAGAGCCAGGACAGGAACGCAGGCTACTGGATCACGCCTGAAGCTGGGCTCAGGGCTCACCAAGCTGATGGTAGTTGGAGAGGCCAAAGCCGTACACGTGGCCCTCGTGGGAGATGGCAAAGGTGAAATAGGCACCACAAAAGGCATCCTGGAATCTCACGTGGCCCCGGCTTCCCCTGGATTTCAGCATCACACACTTGGGGACCAGGAGTCGTTCTGCAGGCAGAGGGAAAGGCACAGTCAGTGACAGACAGACACACACGGCTTCCCTCTGCCCCAAGTTTAATTCTCCTCCATTATAAAAGCCCTTGACAGGCTAAGTAGGGACTCTCATCCCTATTTTATAGAAAAAGAAATTGAGATCAAGAGAATATAAGTGCCTTGCTCAGATTCCCACAGTTATTAGAGGTATCATTTACATGGAACTTACCATCTGCCTGATATTCTTCTCATTAACTCATTTAACTTCAGAGCAACCTAATGAAGTAGGTTTATAGGTAGGTAGATTTAATGATGAAGAAACTATGTTCAGAGTCCCACAGACAGTAGGTGGCAAAATTACCAGAGCAGTCTGTCTCCAAAGTCTTAACCAATACCACAAGTCCATCTGATGCAAGCCTGACCACAGCAAATCCTTCCCGCCTTTGGCCTTCACTGTGGGGGTGGCCTGCCAATTTGCCCTGCTGGAGGTACCAAGGCCACTTACCAAGACCTTGCCGGCCACCACGGTTGGCAAATAACTCAGGCACACGGCCTAGCTGGCCCTGTTCCCCGCAGCCCAAGGTGTAGAGGTCACCACCAGCTGTCAGCATCACCAAGTGGTCATTTCCTGAGGATGAAAAGGTAAGGGATGCAGGCCACATCTGTAAGGCCCAAGGCTGGGCCAGCCCCAGAACAAGGTCCTCCAAGTCCTGCCCCGAGCAAGTACCCCCAGACCCACCTGAGGCCACCTTTACCACAGGCACGTCCAGCTGCACCTGCACTGGCACCATGCTCTTCTTCATGGGCTCCAACAGCCCAATCACACCGTTATTGTCCTAGAAGGGAGGGACAGGGCACTTATCAGCCAGTCCTGCCTGCGCCATACCAGTGAAATCCAGAAGGGCAGTGGCACCAGATGGGGATGGAGAGGTGGGCAGGAGCCGGGCCACATACTCAAATACTTACGAATGAAATCATTTATGGTCTGCAACTTGCATTAAAATAATCAAGGAGTCAGAGAGTGGATGTAAATAGAGATAAACAAGTCTGGCCATAAGTTGATAATCATTGAAACTGTGTGGCAAGTAAACGGGCGTTCAGTATACTATTCTGGGCCAGGCATGGTAGCTCATGCCAGTCATCCTAGCACTTTGGTAGGCCCAGGCAGGCAGATCGCTTGAGCTCAAGACCAGCTTGGGCAACATGGTGAAACCCCGTCCCCACAAAAAAATACAAAAACTAGCTGGGTGTGGTGGCACAAGCCTATAGTACCAACTACTTGCGAGGCTGAGGTGGAAGAAATCACCTGAGCCCAGGAAGTTGAGGCTGCAGTGAGCTAAGATGATGCCACTGCACTCTGGCCTGGGTGACAGAGCAGGATCTCATCTCTAATTAAAAAAGAAAGGAGGCCAGACGCGGTGGCTCACGCCTGCAATCCCAGCATTCTGGGAGGCCCAGAGGGGCGGATCACCTGAGATCAGGAATTCGCAACCAGCCTGGCCAATATGGTGAAACCCCATCTCTCCTAAAAATACAAAAATTGGCGAGGCATGGTGGCGCGTGCCTGTAATCCCAGCTACTTGGGAGGCTGAGGAAGGAGAATTGCTTGAGCCCAAGAGGCAGAGGTTGCAGTGAGCTGAGATTGTGTCATTGCACTCCAGCCTGGGTGACATTCTCCATAAAAAATTCAAAATAGACGTGATAAGAAAACACCCATCAGGCCGGGTGCGGTGGCCCACGCCTGTAATCCCAGCACTTTGGGATGCTAAGGCGGGTAGATCGCTTGAGGTCAAGAATTCGAGACTAGCCTGGCCAACATGGTGAAACTCCATCTTTACTAAAATACAAAAATTAGCTGGGCGTGATGGTATGCGCCTGTAGTCCCAGCTACTTGGGAGGCTGAAGCAGAAGAATCGCTTGAACCTGGAAGGAGGAGGTTGCAGTGAGATCTCGTCACTGCACTCCAGCCTGGCTGATGGAGCGAGACTCCATCTAAAAAAAAAATAGTAAGAAGAAAACAATTTTAATATAGAATTTGGCCCTGGGCACGGTGGCTCATGCCTGTAATCCCAGCACTTTGGGAGGCAGAGGCGGGTGGATCACCTGAGGTCAGGATTTTGAGACCAGCCTGACCAACAGGAGAAACCGCATCTCTACTGAAAATACAAAATTAGCCAGGCGTGGTGGCGCATGCCAGTAATCCTAGCTACTTGGGAGGCTGAGGCAGGAGAATCACTTAAACCCGGGAGGCAGAGGTTGTGGTAAGCCAAGACTGCACTATTGCACTCCAGCCTGGGCAACAAGAGTGAAATTTCGTCTCTCAAAAGAAAAAAAACAAAAAACCAGAATCTTTTTTTTTTTTTTTTTTTTTTTGAGACGGAGTCTCGCTCTGTCGCCCAGGCTGGAGTGCAGTGGCTGGATCTCAGCTCACTGCAAGCTCCGCCTCCCGGGTTCGGGCCATTCTCCTGTCTCAGCCTCCTGAGTAGCTGGGACTACAGGCGCCCGCCACCTCGCCCGGCTAGTTTTTTGTATTTTTTAGTAGAGACGGGGTTTCACCGTGTTAGCCAGGATGGTCTCGATCTCCTGACCTAGTGATCCGCCCGTCTCGGCCTCCCAAAGTGCTGGGATTACAGGCTTGAGCCACGGCGCCCGGTCAGAATCTATTTTTTAAACTACACTCCTCTCTACCTTGGAAACTCTGAGATGCAACAATCCCTGCCTGCTTGCCCCATCTAAGCTCTGGGGAATGTGGAAGAAGCAGTGCTGGCGAGGTGAGGTGGAGACGGAAGTCAGGGAGATGGGTGAAGACAGCAGGCCTCCTGGATCAGCCTCAACCCAGGGACATCCTTGACCCACTCGCTTCCCAGGACAGACACTTGATGACATTGGATCCAAGGAAGCAGCTGGTGGTGTGGCCCACATGAAGAAGCTAGAATCCTGGGTCTGGGCCTCAGCTCTATCTGTGGGCTTTCATCTCCCCACTAGTAAGTACCACGGATGCATGGAAGTGGATTATCTTTGGGGCCCCACCAGTTAGTTCTGCCTTTCAGGCCCCATGCAGACTTCCAGACCCAGCCTTACCCGGAAGGAGCCCCAGAGGAAGACACGGCCATCCTCGGTGAGGGCTGCTGTGTGACTGTCTCCTGCTGACACCTGTACCACCTTCTCTTGCAGCTCCACTTTCCCAGGGATCATCTCCGAGCCCTCCACTGATGTGTCCCTTCCCAGGGCACCCTCATCATTGCAGCCGAAGGAATAGACCTGTGCCCAGGATGCCCTCATTAATGCAAAGTCTGGCCTCGCAGTCCATTCTCATGTAGGCCACTCCCCGCTGGACTAGCCAGCTCCATTTCCACAGTGAACATGTGTGGTTCAAAAGCCCTGCCCCAAGCCACCCAATCCCAGGCCTTGTCCAACCCTATGCCAGCCCCCAACACCTACCTGGCCACTTTTGCTTAGACACACGGTGTGCATGCCCCCAGCCTCAGCCTGCACAACATCCTCTGGAATGGATACCAGGGCCGGCTTCTTCCTCTCCATCACATTCTCACCCAGCCCCAGCTGGCCCACATCGCCCTGGCCTAGTGTCAGCACCAAGCCGGGTTCTGTGCTGTGGGACCTGTGTGAGACTGAAGGGTGAAGAAGATAGACCCTGAGTGTAGAGGATGACTACAGCGAGGAGAGGTCGCAGGCTCTGCGATCAGACAAACCTGGGCGGAAGCCCTTGCTCTGCCACAGACCGTTAGTATGAACTTTCTGAGTCTAAGTTTTGTCATCTGTGAAATGGGGACAACAAAATACCTCTCTCACAGGATTTTTGTGGAGATTAAGAACTGAGGACATTATTCACATGAAAGGGGAGAAAGGGAAACAAGGAGACACTGGATACTGTGAAATGAATCTTGGTGGAGAGGGCAAGAGGGGCCGGGTACGGTGGCTCACACCTGTAATCCTAGCACTTTGGGAGGCCAAGGCGGGCGGATCACTTGAGGACAGGAGTTCGAGACCAGCCTGGCCAACAGTAGCCTGTAATCCCAGCTACTCGGGGGGGCTGAGGCAGGAGAATCACTTGAACCTAGGAGGCGGAGGTGGCAGAGCCGAGATCGCGCCATTGCCCTCTCTAGTCTAGGTGACAGAGTGAGACTCGATCTCAAAAAAAAAAAAAGAAAAGAAAAGAAAGCTAATTATTATTATTATTATTAGTTTGAGACGGAGTCTCCCTCTGTTGCCAGGCTGGAGTGCAGTGGCGGCTCTCGGCTAACTGCAACCTCTGCCTCCTGGGTTCAAGTGATTCCTCTGCCTCAGCCTCCCGTGTAGCTGGGATTACAGGTGCCCGCCACCACGCATGGCTAATTTTTTTGTATTTTAGTAGAGACGGGGTTTCACCATGTTAGCCAGGATGGTCTGGATCTTCTGACCTCGTGATCCGCCCGCCTCAGCCTCCCAAAGTGTTGCGATTACAGGCGTGAGACACCGTGCCTGGCCGAAAGCTAATTATAATAGAATCTGCACCAAAAGCAAGGGAGACTACGTGGGTCAGAGCACAGTGCCCAATCTCCATCCTAGCCCTCCTCCATGCCCAGGCCGTCCGCCAGTGAGTAAGTTCAGCTCCCGGGCAAATCCACTGCAGAAACGGACTCCTCCCTCCGCCATCCAGTGGAAAGGCAGGAGGGGCAGGAGGAAGAGCGGCCAGCGGCATTTGCAGGAGGTGCGCACCAACCAGTGGGCGGCCCGGGGCCCTCTGTGGGCCAAAGGCAGCCCCCCAACCCGCAGTCCCGGGCAGCCAATGGCGCCCAGCCCCTCCCCCGAGGCTGTGGCACCGCTGAGGAGCCCGCGCTGGCAGCACAGAGGGCGCGCCGGGCGCGGAGCCACCTGGTCGGGTTTTCTGGTCAGGAGGGCTCGGCCCACAGGCACCTTGGCAGGAGCGGGCGCCAGGAATGCGGCGGGAGGCAGCGGCCCTCGCGTCTGCAAAAGACAGACACTGTCTGAGCGTGGGTCCACACTTCCCCTCCCAGTTTAGTGCTGGCTTTTCTTTCCTCCCTGTGCCCCTCCGGTGTCCCAGGAGAGAGGAAACCACAGCCACCTCCCTCAAATTCTGCCAGGCCATTATCTCATCTCATCCTCACACAGCCCAGAGCGGGTGGTGCTGCTCTGGCTGCCTCCATTTTATGAAGTTGATAATCCAAACTGCAGGATTAAGTGACTTGCCCATCAGCTAGAAAGTGGCAGAGCAAGGACTTGAACCCATGTCGTAAAGTCAGTGGTCCTAACCACAATGCATCACTGGCTGGGGTGAAGCCCTAGGGTCTAGTTTTTTTTGCCAGTACTGCCTAAGTGCCTTGGGAGGAGTTTCTGCCTACTTTGTGATTCCCAAAGAGTGGGATTCAACGAGCTATGGGAAACATTCCAGCTGGGTGGGGTTTCTGCTCATCCACACCCTTCAGTTTCAAGTGTCAGAAGGAGGGAGCCCAGTCCCGGGTTCTCAGGGTTTCGAGGGGCCACCTGTACCCACAAAGAGGCCAAGGCCAACTTACCCTTCACCTTCTTGCTTTTGGGGATGGCATCTGCTGGGGGGGACCTTCTTTTAGCTATGCGCTTGGGTGACATCTTCCTGCCCTGAAAAAGTCAGTCAAATACTACATATCAGAAATGGCAAACATTTTCCTGGGCCAATTAGACAATATTTATCAAAAACCCTAGAAATAGGTTAAGAGGAATTGCCCAGCAATTCCACTTCTCAAAATGTATCCCAAGAACAGAATAATGGACGCACCCAAAGATCAATTACACAAATATTCTCTACTGTATTCTTCATAACATTGTAAAAACAACAAAAACAGAACCACCCAGGGGTTCAGTAGTAGTGAACTAGTTAAATATGTGGTATATTCATGATAGAACAGTATGAAGTCATCAAAAGTGATGTTTTCAGAGATCAATCTATTGAATAGAAAGATGTTCCCCATTGCCAAGTAAAGCAGAATGAAAAACAGATGGCCAGGTGCGGTGGCTCACATCTGTAATCCCAACACTGTGGGAGGCCGGTGCGGGCGGATTACCTGAGATCAGGAGTTCGAAACCAGCCTGGCCAACATGGCAAAACCCCATCTCTACTAAAAATACAAAAATTAGCCAGGCGCAGTGATGGGCGCCTGTAATCCCAGCTACTCAGGAGGCTGAGGCAGGAGAATTGCTTGAACCTGGGAGGTGGAGGTTGCAGTGAGTCAAGATGGAGTCACTGCACTCCAGCCTGGGCAACAGAGCCAGACTCTGTTTCAAAAAAAAAAAAAAAAAGGCTAGGCGCAGTGGCTCATGCCTGTAATCCCAGCACTTTGGGAGGCCAAGCTGGGTGGATCACTTGAGGTCAGGAGTCCGAGACCAGCCTGGCCAACATGGTAAAACCCCAGTGCCACTAAAAATATATATATACACAAAAATCAGCCAGTCATGGTGGTGCGTGACTGTAATCCCAGCTACTCGGGAGGCTGAGGCAGGAAAACTGCTTGAACCCAGGAGGTGGAGGTTGCAGTGAGCCAAGATCACAACATTGCACTCAGTACTCCAGCCTGGGTGACAGAGTGAAACTCCATTCCCCCACCAAAAAAAAAAAAAAAAAAGAAAGAAAAACAGCCTATCATCCTTTTTTTTTTTGGAAAAAAAATGCATACACATAAAAAATATGAGAAAAATCTGGGGAAGAAAATATATCCCATATTAACAATGGTAACCTCTGGAAAATGGTATTATAGATAATAATTACTTGTTTCATTGTAACTTCCTATATTATCTAAGATGTTTAACAAGGAGCACTATATGTATTTTTCTTTTTTTTTTGAGACGGAGTCTCACTCCCTCGCCAGGCTAGAGTGCACAGGCATCTCAGCTCACTGCAACTTCTGCCTCCCAGGTTGAAGCGATTCTTGTGCCTCAGCCTTCTGAGTAGCTGAGATTACAGGCGTGCATCACCATGCCCTGCTTTGTTTTTTTTTTTTTTTGAGACGGAGTCTCGTTCTGTCGCGCAGGCTAGAGTGCAATGGTGCAATCTCGGCTCACTGCAACCTCTGCCTCTTGGGTTTAAGTGATTCTCCTGCCTCAGCCTCTCGAGTAGCTGGGATTACAGGTGCCCACCACCACACCCAGCTAATTGTTGTATTTTTAGTAGAGACAAGGTTTCACCAGTTTGGCCAGGCTGGTCTCGAACTCCTGACCTCAGGTGATCCACCCCCTCCAACCCCCGGCCTCCCGAAGTGCTGGGACTATAGGCGTGAGCCACTGCACCTGGCCCAAATTTTGTATTTTTAGTAGAGACAGGGTTTCACCATGTTGGCCAGGCTGGTCTCAAACTCCTAATCTCAAGTGATCCACCTGCCTCAGCCTCCTGAAGTGCTGGGATTACAGGCGTGAGCCACTGCGTCCGACCAATTACATGTTTTTTGTTTTGTTTTGTTTTGTTTTTTGAAGCAGAGTTTTGTTCTTGTTGCCTATGCTGGAGTGCCATGGCACGATCTCGGCTCACCACAACCTCTACCTTCCAAGTTCAAGTGATTTTCCTGAATTTTGTATTTTTAGTAGAGATGGGGTTTCAACATGTTGATCACGCTGGTCTTGAACTCCTGACCTCAGGTGATCCACCCACCTCGGCCTCCCAAAGTGCTGAGATTACAGGCGTGAGCCACCGTGCCCAGTCACATGTATTTTAAAAAATTTTAAGTCTCGGCCGGGCGCGGTGGCTCAAGCCTGTAATCCCAGCACTTTGGGAGGCCGAGTCGGGCGGATCATGAGGTCAGGAGATCGAGACCATCCTGGCTAACATGGTGAAACCCCGTCTCTACTAAAAAATACAAAAAACTAGCCGAGCGAGGTGGCGGGCGCCTGTAGTCCCAGCTACTCGGGAGGCTGAGGCAGGAGAATGGCATAAACCCGGGAGGCAGAGCTTGCAGCGAGCTGAGATCCGGCCACTGCACTCCAGCCTGGGAGACAGAGCAAGACTCGTCTCAAAAAAAAAAAAAAAAAAAAAAAAAAAATTTTAAGTCTGTTGTAAAAAATTAAAGCATTCAAGAACAACATTAAGTGAAATATCCATCGTAACTTCATTCAACCCCATGTAAGCACCAGTAACTTTGGTAATGTGTTACTGTTAAAATCAGAGGGGGAGAAAAGCTATTATCTTTTCTTATGTGATTGATTTTTTTAGAGACAAGGTGCCACCACATCTGTAATCCTAGCACTTTGGGAGGTCGAGGCGGGAAGATCGCTTGAGCCCAGGCGTTCAAGACCAACCTGGGCAACATGACGAAACCCCATCTCTATCCAAAAAATTACAAAAATTAGCTGGGCATGGTGGTGCACGCCTGCAGTCCCAGCTACTCAGGAGGCTGAGGTGGGAGGATGGCTTCTGCCTGGGAGGCTGAGGCTGCAGTGAGCTGAGGTTGTGCCATTGCACTTCAGCCTGGGCGACAGAGTGAGACCCTGTCTCAAAAAAAACAAAAATACGTATGCACTTTAAGACGGCAGCTGCTGTGGGCAGGTTGCTCCGAGCATCAGCTGCCGGCATGTGAGTGTCATTCCTTGGGGTATTTCTGCCACTGCAGCCATCAGGCCTGCTGATTCTGGAAGAACAAGTTTGACAAACATGTTGTGGTCTGGTTCCGGTCAAGCAAAATTCTGGCACCAGTTCCTCATACTGTGCACCTGATGTCACCCAGCATGCGCCCTATTTTAAGGGTACAGCCGTTGTCAATGGAGAGTTCAAAGACTTAAGCCTTGATGACTTTGAGGGGAAATATTTGGTGCCTTTCTTCTATCCTTTGGATTTCTTTGTTTTTTTTTTCAAGATGGAGTCTTGCTCTGTCACCCAGGGTGGAGTACAGTGGCACGATCTCGGCTCACTACAACCTCCACCTCCCAGGTTCAAGCGATTCTCCTGCCTCAGCCTCTCAAGTAGCTGGGAGGTGCCTGCCACCACGCCCGGCTAATTTTTGTATTTTTAGTAGAGATGGGATTTCACCATGTTGGTGAGGCTGGTCTTGAACTCTTGAACTCAGGTGATCCACCTGCCTCAGCCTCCCAAAGTGCTGAGATTACAGGCGTGAGCCACCGTGGTGGATTCCCACTTTAGCCATCTTGCCTGGATAAATACACCAAAGAAGAATGGCGGTTTGGGTCCCATGAACATCACACCTTTGTCACATTTCACTAAGCGAATTCCCGAGACTACGGTGTGCTGTTAGAAGGTCCTAGTCTTGCACTAAGAGGTCTCTTCATAACTGACCCCAGTTGAGTCATCAAGCACTTGAGTGTTTTTTGTTTTGTTTTGTTTTTTGAGAAGGAGTCTCGCTCCGTCGCCCAGGCTGGAGTGCAGTGGCGCAATCTCAGCTCACTGCAAGCTCTGCCTCTCAGGTTCACGCCATTCTCCTGCCTCAGCCTCCCAAGTAGCTGGGACTACAGGCGCCCGCCACTGCACCCAGCTAATTTTTTGTATTTTTTCAGTAGAGATGGGGTTTCACCATGTTAGCTGGAATGGTCTCGATCTCCTGACCGCCTCAGCCTCCCAAAGTGCTGGGATTACAGGCGTGAGCCACCACACCTGGCCGCACTTGAGTGTTAATGATCTCCCAGTGGGCTAAAGTGTGGAAGAAACCCGCCTCTTGGTGAAGGCGTTCCAGTATGTAGAAACTCATGGAGAAGTCTGCCCAGTGAATTGGACACAGGATTCTCTAAAAATCGAGCCAAATCCAGCTGCTTCCAAAGAGTATTTTCAGAAGGTAAATCAGTAGCTTGCCCATGTGTATCTTCACCTTCTCACCCCAGAGAAGAACCACAGTTGAAACCTGCTTTTATCATTTTAAAGATGATTATCTGTGGCCCGGAGTGGTGGCTCATGCCTGTAATCCCAGCACTTTGGGAGGCTGAGGTGGGCGGATCACCTGAGGTTGGGAGTTTGAGACCAGCCTGACCAACACAGAGAAACCCTGTCACTACTAAAAATACAAAATTAGCCGGGCATGGTGGCGCATGCCTGTAATCCCAGCTACTCAGGAGGCTGAGGCAGGAGAATTGCTTGAACCCAGGAAGTGGAGGTTGCATTGAGCCAAGACTGTACCACTGAACTCCAGCCTTGGCAACAAGAGTGAAACTTCATCTCAAAAAAAAAAGAAAGAAAAGATTGTTTGTAGGCTGGGCACGGTGGCTCATGCCTATAATACCAGCACTTTGGGAGGCTGAAGTAGGTGGATCACCTGAGGTCAGGAGTTCGAGACCAGCCTGGCTAACATGGTGAAACCCCTTCTCTACTAGAATACAAAAATTAGCTGGGCATGGTGGCGGGTGCCTGTAATCCCAGCTACTCGGGAGGTTGAGGCAGGAGAACTGCTTGAACCCAGGAGGCAGAGGCTGCAGTGAGTGGAGATTGCACCACTGCACTCCAGCCTGGGCAACAGAGCGAGACTTCCTCTCAGGAAAAAAAAGAAAAATAAAAAGAGAAATCAGGCCGGTGCGGTGGCTCACGCCTATAATCCCAGCACTTTAGGAGGCTGAGGCAGGTGGATCATGAGGTCAGGAGATCGAGACCATCCTGGCCAACATGGTGAAACCCCGTCTCTACTAAACAAAATACA